TCTGTGTCCAGCTGACCCAGATCCCACAGGTGCAGCCCCTCGTCGTGGCTGAGGCACAGCAGCTGGGTGTAGTCCGCTCCGGACCAACAGACGGAGCCAGCAGACGAGTCGCTGTTACAGGTGGCCAGCAGCGCCTCCTCCTCAGCTCCTCGGCTCAGGTCAAACACATTAACAAGGCCGTCTGTGGAGCTGGACGCCAGGCGGTCTTTGTCTCGAGGGTGGAAGCACACCTGTGTGATGTCATCACTGTGTGACTCAGAATACACCCCGAGGAGCGCACCACCTGGTTTCCTGACGTCCCAGAAAACCAGGAAGCTGTCTTCATCGTTGACCTGCTCGGTGCCTGCACACAGCAGCGTGTCGCTGCAGCTCAGGTCGAAGCTGCAGTAGCTGTGTGACGGGTCGCTTTTAAACACCTGGGCTGCGTCTGACCCGGGACGGCGGACGTCCCACGCCCGTACCGTCCCATCAGCAGAACCAGAGTAGAGGAGGTCAGGGGAGGTATGGGAGAAAACAACCCCACAGATCGGCCCACTGTGGCCCTGATACTCTCCCACCATATTCAGGGTGTCCTTGTTGTGGAGGTGGACGGTGAAGTTGGAGCAGGACACAGCCAGCAGGGCGGCCGGCTGCAGGGCGACGTTCAGCAGGTAGGTGGGTTCCTCTGGACGAGACCGCCGAGCGATGGACAGACCTTTGAGCTTCTCCTCCAAACCCTCCATGGCAGCTCAGCATTGAGATTCAACCACACTGGACAGGAAGAAGAAAAACACAAATTTAGAGCTGCATCTCAGCAGCCACAGCTACTCCATGAAATCTCTCAGAAAAAAACACCCACCATATTTGTAGTCTTAAAACTTTTGCACATCCCCTCGAATATATTTTTGCACATTCCTGCCGGGCACACAGCTTGGTTCGGTCACCTCTCTGTGCAGTAATAAAACAAACTGTTTCAACTGATCCACACTATGTGGAAAATAATAGGTGTCAAAGAGCACGTTTCGATGCAGTCTATTTTTGGACAGGTTACTCTCAGTCGAGCCGATAAGATCATCAATGACTCCCCTCATGGTCTGTGTACAGAGTACGAGCTGCTGCCCTCTGGGAGGAGATTTAGAGCGCCTGGTTACAGACTGAGCAGATTTAAAAATTCATTCATACCTCTGTTTGTAAAGTTTTTAAACAACAGCAGATAAAGTCAGATCTGGCATTGGATTATGATGAGTTGCTGAATTGCATTTTTTAGCATAAGATGTTATTTATTTATCTACCTTTTCGTGTTTCTTATTGCTACACTGGGTATAATGTTGATTTGTCTATGTACTATGTTGTATGTTGTATTTCTATGGCTGCAGTATGGGTGCAGGGCTCAAGACAAATGTCCCACTCTATGGAACAATAAAGTTCATCCTGATCTATTTTAGTGGTATTTCTTAAACATTTTCATTTTATTTTTGTAGTTCTATATGTCCCCTACCGATGCACCAAAGCAAATTCCTTTTATGCGAAAACCTACTTTGCAAAAAAAAATTTTCTGATATATAAAATATAATGTACAAAAAAACAGTGAAAACGTCACCTCCCATTCTGTGACAAGACTCAAATCAAAATGTTGATTCTTTAATGTATGCTTGCTTATTGGCCACGGCTATGTGCACATTAAGGTATCATTTTTAATGTGTTTTTAATCATTAGAAACCACTTTGCAATTCGGCATACAGTAAGTACAATAAACGACAGTTATAGTATAGTATTTCCAATAATATGTAGATATTATTGATAGTATTTCCACCCTCTTTCACCGTAATAGCTTGTCTTGTGGTGGATGTATCTTATGCCGAATTAAGCCACGCTGCATATTTATTAATAAGGGTTTAAGTTGTATTTAATGTGATGTTTGTATTTGCCGTTAAATGAAGAAACAGAAAAAATATACATTTTTGTAAATGAAGTTTGGTGTTAGCTTCTTCACCTTTGACAGATTGGAGCTAAATTCGGGTCATAATCACAGTTTCCATCAAAAATTGTGTCTGTGTGTTTTGTGTTATTATCAATATGTTATGTGTTGTTTAGTTAGTTCAGTTTAGTTAATTAGTGTGAAACGTGTTGTTACTTTTAACCTACCTACTCGGTAGAAATGTTCGAATATTAAGGAGAAACAGCCGTAAACTCTGTAGACTACTGGGACACGTCCGTCGCCATTTTGGACAAAACACTTAGAAAATATTAAGAATTATTTTAACATTAAATTAAATCAAAAACGTTGGGAAAAGCACCAAAAATGTCATCACACTACTTCTGCTCAAAACAAGCATGGAGGAAATGGTCGGTGTGACAATATTTATAGCCGGGTGGGAACTTTCCTTCAATATATGGTTCCGCTGTTAATGGTTCCGCTGCTGTTAAAAAAGTCACAAAGGGTTGTTAAAAGGTATTACCTATACAATATCATTTATAATATAAAGCCTATAATAAATAATACTCGTATTATCGTATCGTATACTATTACTTTGTTTTAATTTCATCTTGTTTTATTTAACTTTATTTTTAGGGGGAGTTTGAACAACTGTTTACCCTTCAATAACTTTTCTGCAGATATGAAGTAGATGTGTTCAGATTAATATAACATTTGGGCTATAGATTTTGTTTTAAGTAAAAAAAAAAAACACACCAGTTTTCTCCAGTGTAAAAATCATTTCATCATTCACTGTAGAGGGATTTTAAGAAATATTCATGAATTATTTTTATATTATATTATTTTTTAATTTTTTTTAGACATATACAAGCTGACACTGGATTATAAATTGGAATAGAAATATATTTTTCTTACTTCTCCTTATTATTATCATTATTTTTTAAATTCTTTAAATTTTCAAATATTCTAGCTTGCTAGAAAAAAAGGACAAATAATACCAAACTTTTATTTTATCACTATATTTTATTTTATTTTTGTCAGTATTAAAAATTTTGAACCAACATTTGCACCACCATAGGACACTAAAACTCTCTATTTAAATCATTTAAATGAGCTCAATTCATCATCTTTTCTTTTGTACAAAAAATGCGAAAACTTCTTTACAGTAAAAGAATCTGATGCCATCTGGGCCCAGTCCTAATGACACATCTGTAGTTTAGTTCAGGTGTGAGTCCTCAGCCGTCCAGCAGGGGGGAGCAGCAGCTTTCAGTTCTCTCAGTGAATGAGGCCTTTGAGCTTTCCATCTGACCCAAATCTGAAGTGACACATAAACAAATTAAATAAACCCTCAGTTTTAACCTGTCGAGACTTTTACTGTCATTTCAGACTCAGAGGAGACGCTGGAGGGAGGAGAAAATATGACTCATACACTTGGTGTACACAGTGTCTTCTTCCACATGTCTCCTCACAACTTGACTCCATATATTCTTCAGAGTTACAGATAATTAATGTATAACTCTACAGGCTGACACTGACCTGCTGTGACCTGAAATACTGCAGTAAAATAATGCTTATTGTGTAAAGTTTTCCATGCAGACAGAGAGTATTAATGTCTGATCCTGCAACAGTGAGAGGGTTTAAACATCAGTAGGTGGACCTTGAACTCAGCATGGTAACAAGCTGCTCTCACAGTCACAGGAAAAACACTGAAGTACGTAACTTCCTTTGGTTAACACTCACCAAAAAATCTTATCAGATTTCAAAAAACATCTTTTAACTGTCCACTCCACCTCGTCCTCAGAGGCAGCAAGTGTCTTTGGTTCAGTCTTAACCAATCAAACATGCACAGACATTTACCCACAACCTGCGTGCTCTCAGTGTTGCTGACACACCACCCGACAGAGGAAGAAGAAAGAGAAGTGTCTTTAAGGTTCAGCCCAGCAGCTGGAGTCTCCTCGGCTGCAGCCGGACAGCTCTGGCAGGGTGAAGTGGAAAACTGGTCGTCCTGTGTGACACCACATCATCTGCTGCTGCAGAAACGTAAACACTGAAGGGACGATGTCAAAAACCCTCAAACATGATCTGCCACTGGAGCTGCTCACGTGCTCATATTTAGTGCACACTATGTCAGCTTTGTACCATCTATTTAGAGGAGTTAAGATAATAAAAGACCAGCAGGTGCATCATTTTATCTTCTTTTTTATTTCAGTTAATTTCACACAAACAATCAGACAGAGACAGATCCTCATTTTGAAGAATAACAATAAAAAAATACTGTGAATCTGCATAAAAGCTCCTTTAATGTCCACATGTGTGTCACCTCAGGACACGACACAGAAATGCGAAGGGTTTGATTCCAAAATGAAAAATATGACACCTGTTTTAAATGATTAATCGACTTATTCAATGAAACCTGTCACTGTAACTAAACAGATTGATTTGGTTTGGGACAAACAGACAAAACATCTTTTCTCATGCAGTCTCAACAGTCAGTGGATTAAAAACACACTTGTGAATTTATCAAACATCAATGTTTGAGCTACAGTGACTCACATGTTGTTAACTTGGATGAAGGCAGTCATTAACAAACAGTGGGAAACTAAAACACTTGAGTCGTTTCTTCCACATTGACGCGGTCACAAAGTGCAAAAGCCAACACGACAGGACAGAATGAAAAGAATTAAAAACAAAAGTCGGAACTAAAGTTTTCACGCGAAACGTTAAATGTTCCTGAACAACCATAAAGGCACTAAAGCGAGGAGCAGCTACACACACACACACACACATAGATCAACCACCTCATACATTTGGTCAGAGTGGGAAAATAAAAAGTCTCTGAGATCCAGATTTAAGGAAGAAAGAAAACACGTTGTTTAGAGCAGAGCTGAGCCCTCAACCTCCAGAGGAGCTGAGAATGTCACCTGTGTTCAGTTTAACAAAATCGTGACTTGTGCATTTACTAATAAACTCTCTGATTTTGTTGAGATGAATAAACATGTTTGGGCTTAATATGACAAATCTTTGATTAAAAACAAAATCTGGGGAGTTTCCAGATGACTGTAGCCACCACAAAACCACAATATTTGGTCTCATACAAACAAATTTGGGAAATATGACATAGTTTCAGGGTGCTGGGATTCTATCAGATGGCAGAAATTTGGTATTTTAACAAATTAAATTTGGGATTAAACTAATTTTGGAAATTGAAACACAAAGAAAGGGGAATTCTAAGAATAAAATTAAGAATTTTAATCCTTGGATTGTAACATTTTTGGGACTATACGACAAATAAAATTTAGAATTTTAACAAATTTGGGGCTTCTGTGAAACTGGGTCTACTTACGGCAACAAAAAGTTTGTCTTGGGTGCGTTGGTACAAAAGACAAACAAGAATACAACAAAAATACAACTGAGCTGGACAGCCACAACAAAGGTCTGCAGGCTGAGATCAACGTGAAAATAGTCCAGTTATTTAAGACATCTGTGCACAAAAAGAAGGTGCTCAAAGTGCCAAAATAATTAAAGTGAATTAAAAACAGCGGCTCATGTTTCAGTCGTTGACTAGTAGCTCTAATGATCTTTTTGTGCATGGAACCCTTAAATAAATTGACTATTTTCACATTGATCTCAGCCTGTGGACATTTTTGTGGCTGTCCAGCCCAGTTGCATTAGTGTGCAGGTATAGCCTCTATGGTCCTTAGAGTTTAATTAAACATCTTGTATTATAACCACAGACTGTAAACATAATGGATATACGCCATAATGGGCGTGACATCACCCACTAGTTTGTGGAGTGATGTTTTGAAGCCTCGTTCAGTTCACCATCTTGTTTTTTTGGAGCCAGAAGTGACCATATTTGTGGGAGAGGGCGGCACTTTGGAGGAGCGAGGGGTGGATCTGACTGAGAAGCCAAGCACTTCATTGGCAGACAAACTGTCACTCAAACTGCCATGCTGAACTGTAAGCTTTAATGAAATATAAATGGGTAACTTAATTAAATTAGCTATAGAAATTAAAACTGTTTTTGTACCAGGCTGTAAACGTGTTCATTTCCAACCTGGTCTCACTCCGAAATGGTCAAAATCTGGCCCTTGGGCAGTGACTTGCCAACAGCATGATACGCGGCTAGTCACTGTTACAGTTTAAAGGTGCTCGGCTGCGTCAGGGAGAAACGCAGCGGGACAAGAACGAACGCAGAGCAGCTTTCGCATCCCATAAGTTTATAAAGCTAAACCCTGTTTTTTTCCCTTAGACCTAACCACGTGTTAGTTGTTGGAGAAAGAAAAGCGTCAGTTCTCGTTGTTGCACTGACGTAGTGCATTTATTTTGAAAGAGACTCTATGTCAACTTTAAATTTCCTGTGAAAACATTTCACATTTCAAAGGGTGCTCAATGAGAACAATCACCAAATCCAAATTCAAGGATGTAAGGGCGCTGTAACAATTAACTGTGTTTTTAAATTACAAAGTCGATGTTTTACTTTTTACATATTTGCACAGTTTTTATTTTCTTTGAGTTATTTTAGTTTATTGCTGTAAATTCAGTTTAATAGTTGTTGTGCAAACTTAAAATCCATCTTCAGTCATCATCAAACACAAACTGAAACACAGATGACATACAGTCTTCCATTAATCCAACACTCTCTGTTCAGTCTAACACACTGGTGAACCTGAACATGGGTGGTGGAGGTCTCACAATGGAAGCACAATTATCATCATCACTGTCAGGAAGTTTGGTTTTATCTCATTTATCAATCTCACTTCCCTGATGGCTGCTCCGTCTGCGGGGGAAACTTCCTCCTGACGGGATGTAAACACCATCTGACACGTGTTTGAACACTTACAGCTTCTCCTGTTTATCACTGCTTAACCTCACGTATCACTATCTCACATAGTGTCCCAACAACCTTTGACAAATTCAGTCACAGGTCAAAATGGTTTACACCAAACTTCTTTAACATCTGTGTTTGTTTGTCGAACTCTTCCCAACTTTGCAGACACACAGAAACTCTGACATTTAACCTTTTTGCGTTTCCATTTATGGACCCAATCCCATTAGACTCTATGGTCATTTGAGGTGTCTGCACAAACACAATCCCACCACAGGATTCACAGAGTTTGTGTTTTTCGTTGATGAATCAAAAAAAAAAGCGAATGGGGACAAACTTCCTGTTTCACTGGTTCAGAGAGGAAACCACATTCAGACAGAAAAACGCTACAACAAACAGAATTATGTTCGTGCACGAGGCAAGGCCGCAGGAAGTGAAAGGAGGCGGGCAGAGGAGACGAGTCATCTCAGCCGCAGGTGAAGCTGGTCCGTAAGTCTGGGACAATGTGAGCAGGGTTGGGTCAAACAGAAATAACGTAAAATAAGATGACGCTTAAACTGTCACAAAAAAATCACATTTTAAAACAGTACAAACTGAATGAAAACTGTAGGTTAATTGTTAAAAATTCAGATTTAAAACTGTCCTGAATGCTGCTTTGTTTTCAATAGTTTTCTCAGAACGTTTTGGACCAGCTTCACCCTCTCTGCCCGGCTCAGGGGGAACACAGTGCATTCTGGGAAACAGTGCATTCGTATTAGGACAGTACCGTACACAACAACAACAACAACAACAACAACAACAACAACAACACACAAGTCAGCCTCCTGCTGCAGCTGCTGCCCTCACCCACGCAAAATAAGAATCAAGAAAAGTTTGTTTTTCTGTGGACTATTGTTGGTCTTCAGTTCAAAAGGTAAAAGGTCACCAGCAGCCCCGTCAGCTGTCCTCTAAGAGTGCCCTTGAGCAAGGCACTTCTCCTACAGCTGCTGCGGTGGACAAACACGAGGAGGAATGTGTGAATGAAACATCAGGCGTCCGTCCAGATGTTCAGTTATTATCAAGTCCAGGACAGAGACTCGGGACAGACGCTGGACACTAAAAGGTGTGAGACACAGTGATCTCTAGTTACACCTGGGTATTACTTTTCCGTCTTTACCCAACAGTTAATTTAACAGGGGACTTCAACTCATCTTCACCTCGAGGCCGACTGAGCGACAAGCTCAGAGAAAATCAGAGGTTTTGGGTGGTGTAATCAAAACATTTTACACAAGAGAAAAAGACACAATAACAATCTCAACAAAAGATCCACTTACTGGCTTTTTCCAAGGTTTGCAACAAGTCCATGTATCAGTCAATATTATCTTATCGCAGGTATTTATGGTATCGGCATATATGTCAGCTGATAAGTAGAAAGAAATAGCGCAGAAATTCCAAAGGTTGGTTTTAGATGTTTAAAGTTCTTTCTTGACTTTGTAAAACAAACCACAAGTTACAATCAGCATCTGTTCTGGAGTGACGAACACATTGAACTGTTTCTAGGGCTGCCCCCGAACACTTGACCAAACATTAGTTGTCCAGAGAGGTCATTAGTCGGCAAGATTTCATCGGTCACATTGCCCATGTTGGACTTTAATTTGAAAGGACAGACACAAGAAGTGTCCACGCTCAGCAGTCAGACAGGAGTCAGGTTAATATCCAGAGCTGGTACCTGCAGTTATTCCACAGGCTAGTTAATAACATGTCGGGCAGGAAATCCAAAGTGTGGGATCATTTTGAGAAGGTGAAGGACGAACCCAAGGTGATATGTAAACTCATCTTCATTGGTCGACTACAAACATGACGTATCATCTGAAACATGGAAGCAGCTACATGCCCATTAAACCACAGTGTCATTAACAGGCGGCTCGCTCAGTGTGTGACGTGCACTTGTAGATAAAATATAGGCCTATATTAATGAAGGTTCATTAGGACGGTTTTGTATTTCTCTGTAATGTAGCACAGTGTTAACAATGTTACTGATACTATTCTTTCTCACACCTACAACTCAAACCACCAAAACATATCATTTAGTAATTACATTCATATCGTAAACATGCAGGCGACTAGCCGACTAATGGCCCTAAATGACGACTACTATTTGACTAGGAAAGTTCTTAGTCTGGGGCAGCTCTAGCTGTTTCAAAGAAGCTAATAAGGACGAGTGAGGGCTCAGAAATACTGGACTTTAAACGTCTATTGTTGCAAATTTTACTTGCAGAGGAAGACCATGTAATATGATTGAAAGCTCCAGAACAAATACTAAATGGCCCTTGTGGAGAGATTGTTTTTGTCAAGCATTTAAGCACTGATAGGTAAATATTTTGGTCACAATTCTCCAATAACGTAGAGGATCCTTTTAAAAACTGTTTATGTTCGGTAAATTTGTTAAAAAATCAAAGTCTCAAACATCCAGTGTCAGTCAGGCTACACTTTCAGTCACATCTCATGGTCTTCATCAGTCCTTTACGTTCTGGAAAAAGCTGTTAAGTTGATGTTGTGTTGATTTTTTTGTTCTGTTGAACAACTGAAACACTGACTGGGTTACTGAATGATCACTGAGCATGTCTCATAAGTACACTGTGGTGCTGCTGCTATAAACACATAACTAACAGTGACAATGGTCGTCTGTTTATTACTACTGGACCGTCCACTGACTGAACACATCAGTTTCCATATGTAGGACGTTTCTCCAATCCAGAAATGCCTATGATTTACAGATGTGTTGTAGTGGTGTTGTAATGTCGGTAAAATCTCCTTACAAAATGTAAAGCAGGCACAGGGAGAACAGTTCATGTGTGTCCGGTCTCACAGGTGTCGATCAGTGATTCCACACTGAAGGTTAAAGGGCTGCTCAGCGGTCGGAGGGGTTTGTTTTTACTGTGACTCAGCTGCTGCGTGGGAGGACAACAGGAGGAGAGAAAGCTGGAGTCAAAGTCCACGTGGACGCTGAGGAGTCTGTTTTTCTTTCTGACGGCTGTTAACAGACAAACTCCTGGCTTTCAGATCATTCTGGAAACAACTCGCTGCACGTTCTCGTTATGAAACACTGTTTATAAGGATGTTTTTTATGCACGTGCATCCTTTGCACGTCTGTTCAGATCTGGTTTCTTTGTCTTTCAGCAGGCAGCTGATTCAGACACACAGACACTGACTGAGCTGGTGTCGGAATGTCAAAAACAACAAAAAAGAATTTTAACTTAAAATAAAATCTATAAAATTCAATATTGCTATGATATAACAAAACAATTTCTCTGACTATTGCGAATCTGGAAACAAACATTTTAAGTTTTATAAAACTTTTAATAAAACAAAGTATTTGAAAAGCTCGACTGGAACACGTGAGTTTTGATATTAAAATATTTTTATGACCACGAAAAACTCTGTAGCAATAGTGGGGACAAGATTTCAAAAATAAAACAAAAAATCTTGGAAAAAAGTTATAAAATTTACAAAATTAAGTCATAAATATGAGAAAAATGTCTAATACTTTTGGGAAAAAGTAATTATTTTAGAATATAATTTTATGACAAAAGGTGAAAGTTTGCTTTCACCTGTTCTCTTCAACGTGTTTTAAATTTTTATTTTAATTTAGACTTATTCTAAAAATGATGATTATTTCTCATTCATTTTTTCCCCAAAATATTTCCACCTCATCCTAAAATAAGTGGTTCACCTCCTGTGAGATACAAAGCTACAAATCTTCATTTAAAATATAAAATATTTTTGCCTGAGCTGAATCGACCTCCTCCCGTCATCGTCTTGACCTCCCTCCGCCTCTCCACGCTTCTTCCCTCCTGAGAGCAGCGTTATCTCCACCGCCTCCTCCCTCCGGATAAAACTCTCCTCCGCACAGGAAGTGGATGCCATCAGGAGCATCTCTAATAGGAAGTCAGTTTATAGTGTTACAAGAAAAAAAAGCTGAGCCACGTGGACAGATTCCTGTCATCCCATTTTAAAAAAAACATATCAAAAACTTCTCTGTACAGTTCCCAAACACAGTGAGGCTTCCTTCCTTTTTCCTCTGGATCATACAGTATGTGCCCGGTTGTTGCTTTTCTCCGACAAGAAAAAACAATCCATCGCAGAAGAGACAATAACTTGTCTGAATAAAGACAGAAACAGTAAACAGAGCAGACAGAGTGGGGAGAGCCCTTTAAGGAAATACTGTACACCTGCAATTAAACACCTCAAAAATGAGTTCAAGAACTTGAAACCACAGGCGTGTCCACTCCACAGGTCCACAAGTGAAGTAGAAATCAGTCTCCATCAGGATAAACTCTGAGACAGGAATAAGGAAATATAAAATCTTATTGCTTTGAGAAGTGAGACAGCTTAGAGGACGAGAGGAAGATTAACTATTCATTATTAAGAAGCTTCCTGACAAAGAACCACACAAACTTTAAACACCCAACTTGAGTGGAAACAATCAGTCAGCAAACAATGTTTCTGCAACTATTTAAATACTGAATTAATCATCATTTTTCACCCAAAAGCTTCAAATATTCTCTAAATGCGCGGATTTGTCTATTTATATGATTTCAGCTGAAGGTCTTAAGGTATCAGGGCTGCAGCTTGGACTAGACAAGACATTTTTATTGCTTAAACAAGGGTGAAAGTTGCAGCTCTTCACGTCCACCAGGTTTTAAATGAATTTCTAAACACTTTTCACCTGGTTAAAGACTGACAGCATTTTGTGAATTTGCTGCTGAATCCTTACTTTGCATTCAGGTGCACGTAACACTGATATGTTGCAAATGCTAGGAAAATTTCAGTCTTTCATAAACGTACTTGTGTGGCTCTTTGTCTAAACTCTTAATAATAATTATAGCATTGAAAATAATGTGAATACTAAGACACAGGTTATTTCTCAGTAGCGCTCAGTGGCGTTTTCAGTCTTTCAGAGGCCACTGTTTAGTAAGAATTAAGCTGGTGCAGGAGGAGTGGATGTTTGGCTCTGATCCAGTGCGTCCTGGGATCAGCAGGAGCCATTTGATTTGATTTTAAATAAATCTAAAACAACAGAAAAGAGAGATATCACTCGCCACAGGTAGAACTGATAACAGTCAAAGCCAAATTTACAAGACTTCCCAGCTGCTCCTGGTTCATCCTACCTGAAGGAAACCTGAGGCAACGATGGGAGAGACTGAGAAACTGATAACATGTCAGCATCCAGATCAGCTTTTAGGCTTTAATTCACCTTAGTTGAACCCAGAGGAGGAAAGAAACGGGTTCTGGGTGTGAAATATGATCTGATAACAGCATTCGGTGAACATAAGTCAATCACTTTACTGTTTTCAAGCCAGCGACTGACTGAAATCAGGAGAGCTGAGTGTAGCTGAAGAGCAGCGGCACCAAGAAGAGCACGTTGAAGCCCACCGCTCCATAAACGATGTAGCGGTAAGGCAGCTCCACCTCCATGTGCTGCCTGGCCTTCCTCACGTCTGTGCTGGGCACCCTGAACACCCAGCACACCGCCGGGATAGTGATGGCCTTCATCAGCGCCCGCGTGGCCATCAGCACCAGCACGCCCAGAACCAGTCGCAGCAAGGTGACACCCACCAAGCCAGCGCTGAGGGTGGACATGGTGAAGGGGAGCTGGTCCGCTGTCGGGTCTGGCATCAGACCCAGGTAGTAGTTGACGTGGGAGGCGAGGGCCACGCCGGCACCTGTGCCCAGGATTTGAGCAGTGTCGCCCCGTGAGGTGCTCCACGTGTCCAGGGTGAAGGAGAAAAGGCCCAGGCCCAGGTGGAGGGAGATGATGATGAGCGGAGCGTAGCGGCAAGTCAGGTTGAAGCCGTCGATCAGGTCCAGCGCCGGCAGGAAGAAGAGCAGGATCAGGCTGCTGTAGAGGAAGCCAGCGATGACGTCCTGGAGGAAAAACAAAGAGGAATAGAAGGTTACATTTGACGGCATCATCCAGACTGAATCACAGAAGTCAGGGTCATGTTCAGGGACAGAACATGAGTGCTCTACAAACAGATGTAGGGTGTGTATTCATTACATTTGTGCAGATGTCACTGACAAACAATCTCCACAGCCAACTAATAAATAAAAAAACATTTAACAAATCATAAATAATCAGACACATTTATTGCTTATAGTGAGAGCCATGTGTAGCAATAACCTTTACAGGGAACTCCCAAGTGATTACATGACTAATAACATGAGTGTTCAGGAGCAGTCAGTCAGACACAAGTATCACTCCTAAAATTTCCTCGATTTTGCAACTGAATCATAAATTTGGACATTTGTTCTGTAGATATTTATGGGTGGGTTTCCTGCTGATGGATAAAGGAAGTTGAAGACAGGAAGCGGGAAATCAGCGAGCTCAACGTGGCAGTGAACTCTGGACTCAAACACAAAGGTCATCACAGTCGTTTATTTATTGACCCGAGCAGCAAACTGACAGCTGGTTTCCTGTTCCAACGTTTACTGTACGTGTGGATTTAACCTCTGACGAAGCTGACGAACTGTTTCTGAACTGATGATTCAGAGAAGTAAACAAAAACGGTTGGACTTTTTGCATCTGGTCAGCATCTTCATTAGTTTTAGAGACAACCTGAAATAAATTACCGTAAAACTTGGTGTATAAGTCGCACTTTTTTTCCCTTTTTTTTCATCTAAAAAGTTGGGTGCGGGTTATAGACCGGTGCGACCTACAGACCAAGGTAAATGCTGACATAGGTAATTTGACCCACAAGATGGCGCTATGTAGTAATTTAAACTCATTCGTTTTTGGGATTTGAGTAAGCATGTATAGTTACAGCCCACACTGTAATAAGGTACTGTAATGCTGTCTTCTTAAAAAAGAAAAAAGAAGTTTAACGTTAATTTAAACTCATTTTTATGGCTCAGATGTTGTTATACCGTAATTTTATTTCCTGAAGAGGTTGTTTGGAAAATTGCAATCTGAAAAGTAACCAAAGCTGCTTAAGAGGTTATTGTGTTTTGAATGTGTTTCAAATTAAAAATAAAGGGAAACAGTGTAGGAATAACTTGTATAACGTTTTTATTAACAAACAGTAATATAAAACCTTGTTTTCCCTGTTTGAGACCTTAAAAAATAGACTGCGACTTATATGCCAGTGCGACTTATATTGTTTTACGGTAAATGCTTCAGTGCAGCTATTTCTACATTTACTAACTTCCTACAATTATCAGCTGTGAAAACTAAAATGTGAAAACAAGTAGGGTCAAATATTCCACTACCAAGAACTGTTAATTTTCATAATTTATCAAAACGGTTACAACCGGCAGCACAGAAGATCTGTACAATCAGCTCAGATTCAAGGTGGACACCCAAGATTAGAGTCACCAATTTAGTATCAGACCAAATGTCTCCCCTTCTGTTTTTTGAGATATGGCGTTGAGTAATGGCCAGACAACAGTTTTTACAGATTATTATGATGTCACAGTGAAGTTGACATCACTTCATCATTTTATCCTATTAGATATTTGTGTAAAACTTTGTCCTAATAATCATATGAATTATTGAGGTTATGGCCAAAAACATGGTTTGTGAGGTCACAGTGACTTTGACCTTTAATCACCAATCTTCTAATCAGTTCATTTAGGCAAGTGGTTTCCAAATGGTGGGTCACAGTCCAAATGTGGGTCTTGAGTTCACTCTGAACGGACTGCAAGTGACTCACAAATGTGTCGAGTTTGTAAAAAAAATGCTTCATTTTGAAGTACAGTGAATTCCCAGCACAAGCTTTTATTTTGAAGTGCCGTTTCCTGTAGTAAAGTGAGTAAATAACGGACAGCTACTTAACAGAGACAGCCAAATAGCTCAACGACATCATCAAATGCAAGTATGACACTGAATGCAATGAATGCTGTGACGTGACCTAATGACTGAGGAGCTGGCTGGAACAGTTGGGATCCAGTGATTTAAGATTACAAGTGGACATTTGTGCCAAATTTGAGGAAACTCCCTCAAGGCCTTCTTGAGATATTGTGTTCATAAGAGTGAGATGGACGGAGGGTCACAGTGACCTTGACCTTTGACCACCGAATTCTAACCACTTCATTGTTGCGTCCATGTGGATGTTTGTGCCAAAGTTGAAGAAATTCCCTCAAGGTGTTATTGAAATTTGGCTTTCACAAGAATGACAAATATGCAAGGTCACAGTGACCTTGACCTTCTTCCATCAAAATCTAAGCAGTTCATCTTTGAGTCCAAGAGAAGGTTTTTTTTGCCAAATTTGAAGAAAATATCTCAAATATTTTTTTTCATTTTCCTGAAATTGTATTATTGACTTCATATAACACATAAATTAAATTGACTGAACTGCTTGATTGACAACAATAAGATTGATAAGGGTGACCTTGAAGGTCCCTCAAGGCCTCCTTGAGATATTGCTTTCACAAGAGTGAGATGGACACAAGGACACAGTTAATTTGACCCTTGACCCCTAAATTCTAATCAGTTCACTTGGGATTCCAAATGGATGTTTGTGCCAAATTTGAGGAAACTCCCTCAAGGCCTTCTTGAGATACTGCATTTACATGAGCGAGATGGACTAAAGGGTCACAGTGAGCTTTACCTTTGACCACCAAAATCTAATCAGTTCATCTTTGAGTCCACGTGAACATTTGTGCCAAATTTGAAGAAAGGCCCTAAATGTGTTCTTGAGGTGACATTATGCATTTTACTGAAATCATTTTTCTTCTTTCATGTAACAAATAAATTGAATTGATTGATTCGCAAGAATGAGACAGATGAAAGGGTAAACAGTCAGATTGGTGCATCTTAAGTGTGTCTCATTGGTTTGCATGGCTGCCCTTGAATATTATGTAAATGAGAAGCCTGGTTAAAGTATATGTATGGGTAAAATTCCTGCTGCGAATGTCTTAGCCATTTGTATTTTATCCAGATTATTTTAAAGACTCTCAGTAGGGGAAGTTGGTGGAGAGTGTTAACAAACACTAAGTCCCTCATCAGGCTGCCTTAGGTGTGTACAGTATTTACTTTGTCAACAGCAGTGTCTGCTTTCCCTGGTTGAGAAATCAATGAGGGTTACTGTAAATTTACACCACTCTCCATCCACCGGCCAAACGCTGGAACATTTCAGCTGCTGCCTGGCAGGTTAGCCCACTTGGACGGCCACACTGGACGCAAACCAAGGTCCTGTTACAGTTTAAATATCTATCTGGCTGCTTAAATACACGTTGTGGTACACATAAGCCCTGATCTCACAGTGGGTCATTAACCCGTGCTGCCGTCACATGCTGGCACACCGCTCAGCAGGAACTCGTGTCCCAGCAGACTGACTGACAGTACAAGGTCACATTTTAATGTCTGACCGTTTAAAGGCAACTCAGCAGTGAGATAAGCAGCAGGAAACCCCTCAGAGGGTTACTGTGATTTATCACCTCACTGCTGCCGCTGCAAACTTTTATCAGCCCTCTCTGTCCTAATGACAGTGAGTGAAAGCTTTCAGCTGCCTCTAATTTTCTCCTCCACTGACACAACTAGAGGGAGCTCTGCAACTATACGAGCTGCTGATCTAAAAATGTCCAGAAAGAGGACAAACGGGTGGCACAGATCCCTGAAGGAACAACAAAGCTCATGTTATTCAGAAGATGCTTTTATCTTAAGTGCTTTATAATGAAAATAAATATTGTTAACATGGGCGACCTTAGTGGAAACAGAGCTACTAACAACCCTGTATACTACTCATGCCTGCTTTAATGACTTAATGGATCCTGCAGTCAGTTTCCATTAAATGATTATACAAGTTCAGTTTCTGCAACAGCGGTGAAAAGCATGTGAATGATAACATTCTCCTTCATGACGTAAACATACAGCCAACTCTAGTTAGACTGCTTTCACTGACTTGCCTTTCTTACCCTCAGTTGTACATAAACTGCAGTTTATACACTTATTTTTAAAATACAAAAATGAAATTATTGGTTATCGTATACCTGAGAGGCAGGTAATTATCGGTATCGGTTGAAAAACTCCATATTGGTGCATTCCAAAAGTAAGTGTTTAACTTTTTCTAAAATGCTGCCGTAAAACAACTTGACAGTGGGGCATCGGTGGCTTAGTGGCAGAGCAGGCGCCCCATGTACAAGGGTGTTGCCGCAGTGGCCCGGGTTCGAATCCAGCCTATGGCCCTTTGCTGCATGTCATCCCCCCTTCTCGCTCTCCCCCTTTCACACTTACCTGTCCTGTCCATTAAAGGCAAAATGCCCAAAAAAAATCTTTAAAAAAAAAAACAACAACTTGACAGTGATCATAGAGGAAGTGGAGGACCTCTTGTACAAGAATATTACAGGGTTTGCTGATAAAAACTTGATTTGATTTTTAGATGTAGAAATGAAAGGGACACTGTTTTGATTTTAGCATCTAAGTATTAAAAATGCTGTAGTAAAAGAGCAGGAACATAATGACAGATGAATTTCAACAAAGGAAAACAAGAAAAAATTAGAAACTCTCACATTTTAATTAACCTTTGTGGCTATTAAAGTTTAAATAACTGAGTTTACAAGGTGCAATTGAATGCACCATGGTCGGTGTCCACACGCTTTGCCGCAGAGAAGGTGGACTATTGCACGCAATGTTTCTGTAAGTTATTAATAACTCAGAACGCAGCAGGTCGGACTGCATCATTAGATGCAAATCTAGCGCTTCACTACAGTTCCCAGCTACAGATAACCGCCCGCAATTTGTCTCATTAGCTCCTTTTCCTCAACAACAGACACCCGATGCTCATTGCTGAATTGCTTTCTTGAGGTCAATCCCTGAGCTGAGGATGCTGGCCTCAACTATGTCTGACACTTGCCACCTTGTGTCAGTGTCCACCACCAGTTCACTGGTGCAAGAACATGACAAAAACACAAAGCGATTGAATACAGAC